GAGAGCGCCCCGCCAGCATCCTCACGGCCAGCAAGCCTGGGCCGTGGACATGACTCGAGGGTGCTGGCAAGCTCCCGGGACACACGCGCCCTGCTGCGCTGCAGCCCGGGGGGGTGGACTCTGGCCCTGCTGTGGCCAGAGGCCGAGATGCGGCCAGAATCCAGAGTGATGGGCAGCGCGTGCGGTGGGCGCTCAGCCAGCCACTTCTCCCAGGGTCTTCCTTCTCTTCTCGTTTTATTTTTGCAGGGCAGAGGGCGAAGTGGTGCCTTGCACATGCTGGTCACGTGCCCGCCACGAGCCACGCCCCGGCCTTCTCAGCCTACAAACAGCCGTTACTATGGCCTAAAACCCACAGGACCGCACGCCTCACGTGGGGAACCAAGCGGTCTGTGACTCACTGCTCAGAGCGTGGATTATTTGCAAAACCGTAAAACGGTGGTGATCTCCCCACACACCTCGGGCTGGCCTGCGTCCCTTGTGTGAACGCTGTTCAGGCCCTGCAGTGGGCGTCCCACACGCTGCCATCCCCACCAGCTCTCCTCCACCCCACACGGACCAGGGACGTGCAGCAGAGGCGAAGCAGAGGCGACACCTCAGGCCCGGCTGAGAGGGAGCCTGCTCTCCTCCACCCCACACCGACCAGGGACGTGCAGCAGAGGCGAAGCAGAGGCGACACCTCAGGCCCGGCTGAGAGGGTGCCTGCTCTCGGATTGGCAGCCCTCCTGAGCTCCTGGTCACCACCGCCAGGAACCACCCCCCGGGCTACTGCCCTGCAAAGCAGCTCCTCACCCAGGTGTCTTCAATACCATCTGGCAGGAGACCGAGACAGAGACAGTCTGGCATTGCCATAGCCAGGCACCGTCCTGTCCTGTCCTCCCCCCAATACCTGCCCACAGGACCAGGGTCGTTGGGCTCTCCCCACCTAACCCCCAGCCTGGACCAAGTCCCCAGGCGCAGGACAAGAAGGGGCAGCAGGACCTCAAGAGCCACCAGAAGTATGCAGTGGAAAACAGCCAGGTGATAGCCCCGCGGGACCCAACGCTGCCCCTGGGCTGAGAAGCCGCGTGGAGCGCCTGGGCTCTGCCCGCCAGAGCTGGCCCGGGCTGCCGGCTGGCTGGACCAGAGACTGGGCAGAATCCCCACGAGGAGGCTTCGACAGAAACATCAGTGTGTCCTCAGAAGGGACACTGCTGACAGAGAAGTGGGTAGTGCCATCTTCAAAACCAATGGTGCTGGTGCACACCAACCAACTATGGCACGCCCATCCCTGGGCACCCCAGGGTGTCTCTCCCAAACTCTCCCCACCCCAGTGCCCAGCCCACCTGCCCCAGAGTGCCTGTCCTAGGAGGTCTGGCCGTCAGGGACACCCTACACTTGTCAGAGTCCCAGCTGCCCAGAGACCCCACGCCACTGTCTCAGCGAGGTTCCTGCCAGCAGCGCACACGAGCACCCAGTAAGCCTTTCCTGGCCTCCAGGTCCAGCCCTGCAGAGGTGGCCAGCAGCCTGCCCGGGGCCTCAAAGTGGGAGAAGAAGGTCTGGGGTCAGAGCCATCCTGCTCCACCCAGCACCAGGCTCTGTATCTGACCAGGGAGGCTGACCCTGGGGCCCCCAGGGCAGGAGGATCACTGAGAATTCAAGACCAGCCTGGGCTATATAGCAAGACCCTTTCTCAAAAAAAGGCTGTGGGGAATAGTAGCAGGCACCCATAACCCCAGCGCTCAGAAGGCTGAGGTAGAAAGATCACTGAGTTCGAGGGCAGCCTGGGTTCCACAGTGAGATCAAGGCCACCCTGGACTACACAGTGAGACCTTGTCTCAAAAAGGAAACAAAAAACAAAACAACGCACTTGTCATGAGAGGGCAGGAAAAGTATCCAAGTCACCCAGTGACGTCACAGCAGGTCCCTTTCCCCAGCACTGGGGTGCACAGGGCTCACCGAGCCCACAGTTAGGGCGCATCTGCTGCCAGGCTGCCAGGTGACCGACAGGTGAGCACAGAGACACAGCAAGGGTCTAGGAGTGCAGCGCAGTGAGGCCCGGAGGCTCGGGGCTCCTTGAGGAGGAAGAAATGGCCACGAGTAACCCCACGAGTCTGGCAGCCAGAGGGACAGGAGAAGCAACCCCTGACTCGCGTGCAACCTAGCTGGGTCGGCCTGCATCCCAGCAAGGAGTGACATTGTAATCTGAGAAGGGGTTGGGACGGCCGCTCTGAAGAACCCTTCCACATGCAAAGGCATCCACCACAGCATGGACAGACCTCGAGGACACCGTGCTCAGTGAGACGCCAGACACAGAGGACGCACAGTGTGGGCTCCGTGGACAGGAAACGCCCAGGGCAGGCGACTCCAGAGACAGGAAGCGGCCTTGTGGGAGCCAGGGCTGGGAGGGGACATGTGACTGCTCACAGGGATGAGGCCTCCTTTTGGGGCTATGGAACAATCTGGAACTGGATGGAGAAGACACACCCGAGCCTGACGCGCTTTGACGGACGGACACCACGCAGGTGAGGGCCATCTCGAGAGAAACTACACTTTCCCATGTCCACAGCAGCCCCCGGGGATGGCACCACGGCAGACCCAGGACATCCACCGTCCCCTGGACACTGGATCCCTTCAAGGCCGCCAGTGCCCCATCTGTCCCCCGCCCATGTCTGTGCCAGACATCTTTGGCCAGCTCGCCTCACTCAGATATAGAAAGGGCAGCGCGAGGGGCAGGATGGCTGGGGACACCCCGGCACTCAGGGACGGGGACAGCTACAGAGTGAACCCCACAAGCAGGGCACTCAATGGACTCGCACTGGGCTGCTTCTCCCTTTCTTCTTTTCCGCCTGTGTGTGCTGGGGAGGGGCTCAGGACCACACACTTCAGTCATCTGCTCCCGCACAGAACGGCAGCCCCAGCCCCTGCTGTGCAGACTCAGGTCCCCGGAGCTGCATCTCAGGGAGCTGACTGCCCAGCACGCACGCGCAGGCTCTAGGGGAGAAACGCACAGGGCACAGCCAGCCTGGCCACAGCCCCAACCGGAACTCATTCAAGTGGCTTTGCACCACGGACCACACAGGAAATGCGTTCCGACTTGCAGGCCAGAGCCTCTGTCACAAGAACCCCCCACTCTGCTGGCAGGGTAAGAAAGCCACCATGTCCTCTAGGACATGGAAACAAATGGTGATGGCTGTGTGCCAATAAAGCTTTATTAACAAAAATAAACTGCGGGCCAGATTTGTCAAGGCCTGCAGCATGCCATGCCAACCCCACCACCACTGCCTGAAGCCCATTCTAGTTCTTGCCCCCTGAGGGAACAGGGACCTCCACTGCCACAATGAGCCACCCAGGACACCAAGGCCCGAGTTCTCAGCCACACCAGGCCCTGTTAGCCACACAGCGGAAGACCAAGGCCTCCGCCCGGGGTCAAGAACAGCACTACACAGTCGACCCACACAGCACATGGGCAGCCTTGTCTCCGCGGCTCAGGCCCATGTAACCCCTCCTTGGTGCCCCCACCTCAGTCATATCTGACCCAGAGTGACAACCCCAGGACCACCCGCAACAGTCATCTCTTAGTGTTTTATTTTGTTTGCAGTACTGGGGATGGAACCAAGGGTCCCCTAACACCTCTATTTATTTTTTGAGATAGGGTACCCAGATACCCAGGCTGGCCTCAAACCTCTGCTCTTTCTGCCTCAGCCTCCCAAGCAGCTGGAAGACAGGCTGTGCCGCCATTTCTGGCCAGAAGCTACCCCTTCCAAACCCTTGTCCTACACTTCGGGTGTGTCTCCGAGTCAGAGCCAGACCCTAGCATACGTGAGGGCTAGGTTCCACCCCCAGCACCAAAACCAAGCAATACGACAGCTCCGCCCTCAGCTTCTCAGCAGAGGACAAGGGGACGAACAGAGCCTGGCAGCCTGGCCTCGGCTGTGGTTGCTGTGACAGTGTCTCTCGCCAATGAGTCAGGAGAGGGGTTTGGGCGACCTGGGACCTGCAGACGCCATCCACACCGCTTAGTCACGGAAGCTAGGAGGACAGGTCTGAGCGCTCCGCTGCGAGCACAGGATCACAGGATCCAGCCCAGCACTGAGGGGGAAGCCCCAGCCCAGCCTGGGCAATTTAGTGAGACCCTTTCTCAAAATAAAAGCTCAGAAGGGCTGAGGATGGAGCTCAGTGGTACAGTGCCCCTGGATTCAACCCGCGGTGTTTAAAAAAAAAAATCAGCGATTGAGTAGACACTGTACCTATGCTTAACCTAACTTAAATACTGTGCAGTAAGCAGCAGGGATGGTGGTACACACCTGGGATCCCACCTTCTAGGAGGCTGATGCAGGAAGCAAGATTCCAGGTTCGAGCCCCACCTGGGCAACGCAGCCATTTAGCAAGACTCTGTCTCCAAATAAAAAATAATAAAAGGACAGGGGCTGGTGCTCAGTGTGAAGGCCCTCAGCTCCATCCCCAGCACTGCAGAAAAATAAAAATAATTTTAAAAACTGATATGGTGGGCTGGGGATAACGCTCAGTGGCACAGTGCCTGCTTGCCTGGCAAGTGTGAGGTCCTGAATTCAATCCCTGGTACCAAAGAACAAACCTGACATGGTACTCCAAAAATATGTAATTTTTATGTGTCAATTTTTCTTAAAAAGGCCTTTCCACAACAGTCCTCCATCATTAGCCCCACCCACAGGAACTGTCCTGTTTCCTGCGGGGTGAATGTGCCCTGCGAGCCTGAGGTGTGTCGTGTCCCAGAGGACAGCGCTCACGATACAGCTCACACGCCGGTGTGTCCTGACGCCCCCCAACGCCACCTGAGGTCCTCCGGGTGCAGAGGGTCCCTGGAACATCACAAGGAAGACAGCTGTCTGGACACGAAGGGCCAGCGCACAGCCTCGCTCCCAGGACATTGTGAAGAAATCTCCAGAAGAAAGCCCTGTGCCCAGCGCACCCGTCTGCGGAGCCCCAGGAGTCAGGGCAGCGGCCAGCACCCCTCCCAGGCGCAAGGCCGGCACATCGCTCACCTCACAGAGCCCGGGAAAGTTCCGCTGCAGAGGCTCCAGGGACCGGCGGGCCCTGCCCTCAGGCTCTCCTGCAACAGTGGCCCCTACAATGCAGAAATAAAGCCACGGTTAGACTCCGGCTGGCCCAGGCCCTCCTCGGGGGCACTCCTAGCAGGCGGGCGTGGCCAAGGACGTGAGCCTTTTTCCTTTCTTCTCTTTTTCTTTTTCATTTCTGAGACAAGGCCTAAACTGCCTCAAACTTGTGATCCTCCTGCCTCATCCTCCCAGAGTGCTAGGATCAATCACACTCCTGAGCCACCTTGCCCAGCTTCACAGGGGGCTTGAAGTTACATAAATCTGACAAACACCCTTAGAACGTGCAAGATGCTCTGTTGTTTTCTATTTTATTTTAATCCAGGTTTTTCACAACTGCTGGGCAGGGCCCATCCCTTTGATTTCACCGTCTTTTAAAAGTCAGCACCCTAGCTGGAGACAAACTAGAACTGGAGCAAAGTGCGCCCCCACCCCTCAGAACTGGGGTGACTGCTAGCACTCCACAGATGGCTCCTTGTGCCCTCCCACTGTACAGTGCAAAGCCTTTCTGCTCCACAGCCCAGCAGCACCACACACAGCCCGTGCTGAAGTCTGGGCCTAGGGGGCCCTGAAATCCCTCATTGTAGCTGGGCAGCAGCCACTCCCCGCAAGAGTCTCCCCCCTGCCCCCAGGACCTGTGGCTCTGTCCTCTTCCATGGCAAATCAGCAGATGAGAATAAGAACTGCCTGGTTCAGTAACATACAGTAGTCCCAGCTACTAAGGAGGTTGAGGCAGGAGGATCAAAAATTTAAGGCCAGCTTGGGCAACTCAGTGAAATACTGACTCAAAATAAAAAATAAAATGGCTAGAAATATTGCTCAGCATAAAGACCCTGGGTTCCATCCCCAGTAGCAGAAAAAATAAACCTGCCAAGGTTAGCCAGGCACAGCAGCCCACACCTGTCATCCCAGCACTCTAGGAGGCTGAGGCAGGAAGATCTCAAGTTAGTAATTTAGTGAGACTGTGTCTCTAAATAAATGAGTGTGTTTTTAAAAATGGCCAGGGATGCAACTCAGTGCAAAGTACCCAGGTTCAATCCCCAGTATACAGCACTATTAAAAAAAAACAAAAAACACCCAGGTTATCAAAAGCAAGGTAAGCCTGAGAATGTCACAGCCCAGAGGAGCTGCAGAGAGGGGATGCCGGTGCCTTGTGGGGTGCAGGGTGGGGCTGGGACACAGTAGGACTCGAGGGATAAATTGGAAACAGGAGTGAAGTGTGGACCTGGGTGAATCATCATCAGTTCCGAGCTGCAGAGGCGCCATGGGAAGGTGCGAGGTGCGTCCAGGAAATGGGGCGGGTGGTGTGGACGGCTGTTCTGTGCCAGCGTCTCCTAGCACCTGAGACCACTCCTCGCACAAGCCGCTCGCTGAGGGGCAGAGCGCTCGGAGAGGCCACGCCCTGTGCCCAGCCGGCCCACTGACCTCGAGTTTGGGGCTCCACGAATAAGCTGGCACGAGAGTCAGGGTCACCCCGCCGGGGCCTTTGGTGCACAGCCCAGGCACCCTGAGAGGCGCAGCCCAACCGTGAGCAGATGCAGGCTCATGCCCTCGCCTCGCTCCCCCGCCGCTCCGCACAGCGACAGTGGTGGACAGGGACGGGCACGGGGGCCAGCTCCACAACTGCACAGAGGGGCAGGGACTGCTACTCACAGGGGGCATCTAGGGACCCTAGGCCCTCACCCCATTCTGAGGGCGCAGAAGTGCTCCTGGCCTGGGGCTGCCAGGACTGACCCTGGAGAGGGGGCTGCCCAGGCCCCACCATGGGGCTGGGTGCGGTTGGTTCCAGGACACAGTCACCTGGGGAAGGTCCCCACCTGCACGGTCACTACCCAAAGGCCTATCCCTACCCACTCCTCCTGGGCCACAGCCAGAAGTCACCTTCAGGAGAGACACCCGTTTCCTGACCCCACCCACACCTTGGCCCGCGTGAACAATGGTCCCTCCTGCAGGGGACGCCATGTGCCTTGCACAGGGTGGGGTGGCCACCCACAGTCTGGGAAGGGATGAGATCCCAGCACGGTGCCGCCCTGTGGACACAAACACAGCAGCTCTAAGGAGGCCGCGCACTCACAGGCACCAGGCAAGGTCACGTGGGTGCGGGTGACATGCCCTGGAGCTGTGACAGCTACAGCATCACAGTCTCTGGGTTAGGGTGTCTAAGTGCCACCGCCACCACCAGGAGCCAGGTTCCTCAGAGCTGGTCACCTCAGGGCTGGGGCAGAGGGCACAAAGGAGTCCAGGCACCGGGCTCAGGAGACAGCAGGGCGTGCAGAAGGGACACAGGAGGAAGCCCCAGCGGAAGACTCTCGCGACAAAATCAATAACGATATGAGCTGATGAGAGCTTCAGAACAAGCTGGGCACAGCCCTGCAGTCCTGTCACCCAGCACTCCAGAAGTGTGAGACACAAAGATCGCAAGTTCAAGCCCAGCCCAGGCAACTTAGCGCCTTAGTGAGACTTTGGCTCAAAATAGAAAGGGCTGGGGATGTGGCTCAGCGTGAAGGCCCTGGGTTCCACTGGCAACACTGAACCGAGCAGAAAAAAGATGAAAACAGCCCAGGAAACAGGAGGAAGCCTTCGCAAGTCCAGTGTCTGGTAAAGGACTAGAATCCAGGATATATGAAATTCTCATAGCTCAGGGGCTAAAGGAAATCACAGGCCGAGTATCAGCCAGCTGTGACACGTAGGGGCCGACAAGCCCAATGACGCGTGGGTGCGGGTGACCTGTTCCAAGGTCCTCCCCCAGGTCCTAGCTCCAGCCTGCGGCCTGTGACTTGGCTCTGGCAGGAGGTGCCGGCTGCTCTGCCCTGATGCCCATCACCTCGCTGTGTGTGGGTCACCATTCCGTGCCAGCCACACCAGGTACATCCCTGAGGCTCCCATGTTCAGGGCGGCCACCTCCTAAGTCATCCAGGGGGCAAAGCTGGTGGCACAGAAGTGGAGTGGGCAGTGAGACCGCCCTGCTCTGGGGGACACACCATGGAGCCAGGTGGAGACGCATGTCAGCAGAGCAAACGGCCCCGAGTAGGCCTGGCCCGCAGGCATCGGGGGGAGGCACAAAGGCAGAGCCAGACCAGGCTCTGGGAGCAGCAGGACATACAGACAGGAGCAGGGCACACAGACAGGAAGAGGCTAGCTCAAAGAGACAGGCTGGCCCTCCAGACCCCTCCAAGTCACCCCGTCCCCTGCTGTCCTTCATCCTGAGGACACACCCAGCCTTTCCTCCCGCACAAGCCGCCGCACTGGATGAGATTTGGGTCCGGACACGCACTGCAGCACACACCCAAGTCACAGTGACCGGGCCGGCCGTCTCCAGAGCAGCCCGGCAGCCCTGACCGAGGAGAGAAGGCAGGCGGGGTGAAGACGGCCTCCCCAGGGACTACAGGCAAGGGGTTGGTAGGACAGCGATGCGAGGGCACTGGTGTGGGGATGGCGAGGACCTGCCACCCAGAGGAGCTCCCAGAGTGTCTACCACCCGAGAAAAGGTTCTGAGAGAATCCGCAATCAACAGCACACCTACCCAGGACACTGCCACCCACCACAGGGCCACACCGGTCCAGGGACACTCACAAGAAGCGCATGTGCACTGCAGCCCACAGGAAACCCACGAGGCCACAGCAATCACACGGAGCCCGTGAGGGGCTCTGGGGAGCCGACAGGAGCAGGGACAGTGGGGACAGACTCTGGTGGGAGGAAGGACAGATGTCCGGAGCTGGACCCCGGCACATTCGGGGCCTCTGAGTGTGACCAGATGGCTCTGCTGAGCCCCACGGGGAGCACGGGCTTGTCCCTCCATGGTGCTGGACAGCTAGTGGCCCAGTGGAAAGAGGCAGGTCCCTACCTCACACGGGGCCTGGGTGAGGACGGAGAGTGCGGAGCTCCCGAAGGAAGCCCAGGATGCCCCCACCCCACGGCCCAGAATTCCTGTGTGGGTGGAGTCAGCAAAGGGGTTTGGGGGAGATCAGACAGGGGCTGGGGCGGGGCCAAGCGGCCGCCAGAGAGGAGAAGAACCCCCGCAGACAGGTCTCTGTGGGCCACGGGACATCCTCCGCCCATAACCACACCGCACAAGGACGCAGGACCCTCCGCACCCCACATATCACCCTGGGCACAGGGCTTAGCTGCAGCAACGCAAAGCAGCCTGGGACACAAAGGGTGAATCAAAGCCAGAGACAAGGAAAGAAACAGCCACCCAGGGGACTGAACTAGACAGGGTCAAAGGTGGGGAGGGAGGGGAAAGACCATGTTGCAGGGAGAAAACGACTAGCAAAGCCCAAAGGCACCTGAGTGACTGAGGAAAACACCTGCAAGCGCATCCCCAAGGGCGTGTTCCCGGGACGGACAGCTGTAAGATTCGGGGGTCAAAGTCCCACAGAAAGTGGGTGCGAGGCAGACAGAGACATCACTGCAGTCACAGGATGGCCTTTGTTCGCGATAAGGTGCTCAACGCACTCACTGCAGCACCGCCATCCCACCTGCCCAAGGGCCTGCTTTCTGCAAGCTCCCAGGTTTAGGGGCACCTTCAGCTGGAACACCGCACCCTGCTGGCATGGAGGGGAAGCTCAGGGACCCAGAGGGCCCTGGCTGGAGCTGGGGAGCAGATAGCTTCTCTGGACCCCACAATCCTCTGGCTAGTAGAACCCTCCACTGCAGATGCACTTCTTGGAAGTGAAAACCTTGCATTGGCTCCATACATGGTGGCCTGGAGCGGGGTAGAAGCAACCGAACCGCCCTGCTGGAGAGCCCAGGCACTCGGGGCTGTGCAGAGGGCCAGGAGGATCGCCACCCTGCCAGCACGGTACTCCGGACACACGCAGGGAAAGGAACCCCGCGCAGAGCTCCGTGTCTCCCCCACGCGGGCAGGCCAGGGGTGCAACGCACTCTGCTCCTAGAAGCTGGCAGGGGCCTGAGGCAAAGACCTGCAGGTCTGTTACACCAGGACGTGGGCAAGCAAGGTTGGTGGCACTGCTGGCACACACCCTGACTCTGGAGCTGCACCTGGGCGCCAGACTCTAAATCCATCAAGGGA